CCCGCCACCCACAGGCATCTTCGTCATTGAGGCGGCGGTCCGTCAGGACCTTCGCACCCAATGGAATCTCCCTCGGACCCCTTGGGCTGTCCCTTTCGGGCTGTTCCAGCTGCTCCACCTCACCTCCAGCCGGTAGACCGCCAGCAGCGAGCGCGTCGGCCGCGACCGGGAGGGCACTGGCACGCGACCGCATGGACTCGACCTCGGCCTCCTCCTTCACCTTATTTGCCACGTTGTGGTTGAGCTCTGGAGCCACCATGTCCACGGCCGAACCGACCCCAGAGCACAGGCGCGCGCTCGGCCACCGAGGCCTCGAAAGGTTTCCAGAGCCAGCGACGACGATCCTTTTGAATCCCCCGGGCAATGACCTCGAACGACACACACACACACACGACGGCATATTCAACTGGCCCTACCAGCCCCGGCTCGCTCACCACGCAACGCGAGCGCAGCGCGGGCGACGCGGGGCCGCCGGCGGCGAGAGCGGGGGCGCGACGGCAGCCGGCCCAGGGGAACCGGCCGGCGCAGGCGCTGCCGGCGCGGGCGGCCCGTCGGCGCGAGCAGGAGCTCCGCCTGCCGCGAACGCTGCCCGAGGGTGCTTGCCACGCACCCAGCGTCTCGCCAGCGTTCGAAGGCGGCCGCCCTCAGGCTCGAGGCGCGTGGCCCGCGCGGCTGCTTTGCAAAGCGGGACTATCGCTGGGCACTTGCGCTGACGGTATCGCCCTGATTTGTCACATCCGCGGTGGCCCGAAGGACGGACGGCAGTTTCTGGAATGAAGTGGACGAGGAGGGAGGAAGGAGGAGGAGGAGGAGGAGGAGGAGGAGGAGGAGGAGGAGGAGGAGGAGGAGGAGGAGGAGGAGGAGGAGGAGGAGGAGGAGGAGGAGGAGGAGGAGGAGGAGGCACAGGTCGCGAAGCGTCGGCCCCGCGCGCTCGCGTCGGTGATCCACGCGCGAAGCGCGTCGTCCGAGCGCATCTGCTCCAGCTGCACACGCCGGGCGCCGTCGTCGGGCCGGGATCGGGGGGCCCGGCCCCCGTGCGTGCGATGATTGTCCTCTCTGGTTCTCCTCGACATGCAGTTAGGTCGGGCCTGTCCCCCTGTTAGGGGCATTCTAGACGAAGAACTAAAAATTGGCAAAAATCAAAAAATACTCAGACATACTTTTTGATTTGCGGCCCGCAAGGAGAAGTCCAAAGGGCTGTATGACCGAGGCTGGGGCACAGCGCAAGATAATTGGCGCGAGACCGCGCGGAATGCACCTGCATACTCAAACATACTCACAACACCAGAAAAATCAAGCAAACAAAAAAAAACTAGTTTTGAACATTCCTCCTGTAGGTGGACATGCCCGACCTAAACATACATATGGCCTCCAGGCGAATACACGACATGACATGCGACCCCGGATGTCAGGGCCCGATCACGGCACGCTCACGCAGGAAGCCCAGGTCAGGGCTGAAGACTACGAGGACCTGACGGCCCGGCGGTCACTCGGGCCCCGTTGAAGATGACACGAGGGGCTCACGACGGCGGCCCGATCGAAGACAGCACACAATCAACAAACAAGACTCGAACACGGCGGACAAAGCGCACGCGGCCAGCGCTTGCGCGCCCGGGCACTCCGGCCCCACCAAGGGGCCGATGCCGAAAACCAAAGGGGACGTTAGACTCAGAGGCCTGCGCCGCGGAAGCCGACGGGCTCGGAGGCGGCGGCGACGGCGAGGGGTAAGCCACCACCAGGCTTAGGTCGGGCGTAGCCACCTACAGGCGGAATTTGAACGAAAAATGAAAAATAATCAACATAAATCCCACCAGCCCTCGTGGCGCAGGTGGTCTAGGGCGTTTCCTTTTCCAACCTCCTTCCTTTCCCTGCTTGGGAGGTTTACCTCCCCCCCTCCATGCGTTTGGACGGGGGGGGCCCGACCCATAGCAGCGTCCACGATGGCCCAAGATGGCCTCAGAGAGCGCAAGATGGCCTCCTAGATGGCCCAAGATAGCGGTAGATGGGTCAAGATAGCCTCCGACACACGTCCAAGAGGCCTCAAGACGGCCCCAGTTTCAAGTGCTGTCCGAGGCCTCCGAGGACCCCCCAAGAGGCCAAAATCCTTCAAAAACCTCAGGAAAACCAATGTTTTGTGCCTTCTCGCTTTTTCGCCTCCGATGGGCTCTAGAGGCCTCAAGTTGGCCCCAAGACGGTCCAAGATAGCCCCAAGAGGGGTCTAAAAGGGCCCCAAGACGGCCCCAAGAGCGCCCAAGAGCGCTCCAAGAGCGGACCAAGAGGGCCCCAGGACGGCACTTTTGAGCCTGCGATGGGGGGGTCCGAATTAAGGACCCCCTTCTTTTTTAGCGAAAGGGTCCAAGACGACCCCAAGAGGCCCCTCAGACATCCCAAAGGAGCCCCAGAAAGGCCTCCCAGACCCTCCCAAAAGGCCCAAGAGGGCCCCAAGAAACCCCAAAAGAGCACCAAGAGGGCTCCAAGGCCCTAAGAGGACCTCAAGAGAGCCCCAAGAAAGAACTCCAGGAGGGCCCCAAGAGGGCACCAAGAGAACCCCAAGAGAGCCCCACGCGAACTTAAGATACAAATCAGTGCAATAGCCACTACGAGTCATCGAAACACCCCTCACCCCTCATCGAAGCACCATCGTAGCTTGCACGAATTTCCATCTCAAACTTCAATGCGGGAAGCTATTTGTGATCCTTGTTTTCCCGAAGACGGCTGCGCGACTGCATGCGTCCTGCCGCCCCTGATTCACCAACTCCCCTGCTGATCGTTTCTGGATGGGCTGGTGGGGATACTACTGTTTGTTCGCAACCGCTAGCGGACAGCCGCGCGGAAGAAGGCGGGGCCGAAACCGAGCGCGAGCGGCGAACGGGCAGCGAAAGAGGACAGGCGACTCACCACGGCTCCGCGGCTGGTGGGGATGTGCGAAGCGTCAAGAGAGTTCATAGATGGTGAAAAAAAGCATCGACGGATCGCCCCCACACTGTTCTTTAAAAACTATGTTTGGAGATTCCCCCTGCAGAGGGACGTGCCCGACGCAACGCCAGGCACAGGCAGCCGCACGCGCCGTTCTCCGGCGGCCGGCACCCGCGCCAGTCGCCGAGGCCCTCGAGGCGCCCAGGGCGCACAGCGCCGACCGACCGCCCGGCCACCGAGCCCGCCGGCCAACCGGAGAGTGAGGGGGGGGGCCCGACGGGAGCAGCCTCAGATCGGGCACGTCCTCCTGCAGGCGGATCTTGGACGGAAGATAAAAATGGCCGAAAAGGTGCTCCAAGTAGTTTTGAATCCGACAGAAAAAAAACGTCCCCCTGCTATGTTTGACTGCTTTTGAATACTCCTCCTGTGGAGGGACACGCCCGACTTAAGTTGAGCAACGCAGTGAGCTCAGGCCGGGACGCGACACCAGAAAAAAACAACGTCGTCCACACCGTTCCCACGCACGCACTGGCGCGTTAGGCGGCGCGCCCGGGGGGGAAGTGAGAAGGGGCAGGCCTTCTCGGGAGCCTTCCCCGAAGACACCGAGAACCTCTCGGAAGGCGCGAAGGCTTCTGGTAAGTCCCGCCGCCTTCTGAGGAGGTCGTCTCCTTTTTCAGTCCCCCCCCCACCGCTCGCTGCCGAATCTGTTCTGCGTCGAGCGGCTTCTCGAGGGACCGCTGAAGATCGGCTCGGGGGGTAACAGAACAGTCGCGGGGGAGGGGGGGCGGTCAAGAGAGTTCCAAGGGGGCCAGCAGCACGGAACACGACCGGATCGTCGGAGGTCCAGGCAGGAGGCGCGCGTCCGACCCGAGCATATTACATAACGATGTTGTCGTACAGTCGGGGCGTTGACCTAAGGAACCCTAAATAAGGAACGAGGCCCCTTTTCTCCATAAGTTAACCTTCGATTTCCGAACAACAACATAAGGAAAACCTGAGGCAAGCTGTGAAACACTTAAGGAACGCGGAGCCCCTCCCCAACCAAAAGGGTTCCTTCTTCACGGCCCCGACTGTAGGTCGTTTCCCGAGCGGTGTGGCCGGAAAGCGTCCGCCACGGAGCTGTGCTGTAAGATTTCTCGGCGCGCGCGTCGCCCCTGGGGGGGGCGACGCACGCACAGTACTGGTACGTTGGGATGGCGCCGAGGGTGATTAGGAGACGAAGTTGCAGCAGCAGCAGCAGGACAACAAGGGGGGTCAGAGATCTTCGCCTTCGAATTGCGCTCGGACATGTTCAGGAGCTGCCTGTAATTAAGCTTCTACAGCTTCCAGGAGATGTTCGGGAGGGTTCCCAAGGTTTGATTGCCTTTCCTGTAAAAGGGGGTGAGGAGAGAATGTCCTTGAGAGGTGCTAGGGTTTCTCGTAGATATCATGTGGGAGGGAGAGACAAGGAGACATGTGTGGAGGAGGAGGAGGAGGAGGAGGCCCATCTCTATCGGAAGCTCCTGTCACCTTTGGAGGCGGAGGAGCCGAAGGTAAAATGCAAGGGAGGAGGACGAGGAGGAAGAGGAGGGGGAGGGGGAAGCTCCAGATGTTCGACAGGAATCTGGGATCTGGGGGTGAGGTTCCTGCAAAGTCCTCGAAGTCCTCTAGGTGAGCCGCTCACAAGCAAACTCTGCCCCCTGAAAGTCCGGGGTAAACTACTGCCTACTCGAAGAAACGATTGGCCTTCCCAAGCCACGCCTGGTACTATATCTTCCTCCTTGTGATTCTCGCCGCCCGCGGCCTTGGCGGACTACGGGGGCGTCCCGCAACCAGAACGTCATCCTTCAATCCTGTGCTGTCCTCCTCTTGAAGCCGGCCCAAGGGGTCTGGCTCAGGCAGAGGCGAATGGCACCACGACGC